CGGATTTTTTTTAATCGCGGCTTCATTCCCCTCTGCCGATCTGTCTAATCTACATGCCTCCGTCGAAGGAGGCATGTAGTCTAGACACACCCCTAGTGAAATAGTTTTTCCTAATATCCAACCTGGACCTCTCCCACCACAACTTGAGCCCATTGCTCCTTGTTCTGCCATCTGTCACTACTGAGAACAGCCTCTCTCCAGCCTCTTTGGAACCTCCCTTCAGGAAGTTGAAGGCTGCTATCAAATCCCCCCTCACTCTTCGCTTCTGCAGACTAAACAGACCCAAGTCCCTCGGCCTCTCCTCATAGGTCAAATGCTCCAACTCCCTAATCATTTTGGTTGACCTCTGCTGGACCCTCTCCAATGCGTCCACATCCTTTTTGTAGTGGGGGGCCCAGAACTGGACACAATACTCCAGATGTGGCCTCACCAGAGCTGAATAAAGGGGAATAATCACTTCTCTGGATCTGCTGGCAATGCTCCTCCTAATGCACCTCAATATGCCGTTAGCCTTCTTGGCTACAAGGACACACTGGTGACTCATATCCAGCTTCTCATCCACTGTAACCCCCAGGTCCTTTTCTGCAGAACTGCTACTTAACCGGTTGGTCCCCAGCCTGTAACAATGTTTGGGATTCTTCCGCCCCAAGAGCAGGACTCTGCACTTGTCCTTGTTGAACCTCATCAGATTTCTTGTGGCCCAATCCTCCAATTTGTCTAAGTCACTCTGGACCCTATCTCTGCCCTCCAGCGTATCTACCTCTCCCGCTAGCTTAGTGTCATCCGCAAACTTGCTGAGGGTGCAATCCATCCCCGCATCCAGGTCAAATGGGATGTGCAGTCCACAATAGGATTGTGCAGTCTTTAGTAAAGGCATAATTGAACACTAGAGTGTTCCCAGGTATAAATGAAGGCCCTTGTTCATGGGGGTGAGGAATAAAAAAGGAAAAACCCAACCGTGTAAACCTCATTTTTTTAGGAAGAATGGTTCTTTCGAAAAAGGGTTTTTTTCTCGAAAGAACCACGTCTAGACTACTTTCCTTTTTGAAAGAACCCCTTTCGAAAATGCAATCGGAAGAAGATACACAAATATGCACAGAATTTGCATATCTTTCGAAAGTGAAAGCAAGTCTAGACGTACCCTCAGGTTTAGTTCATGTGGCTATTAAGTGTGTGAGACTGTGTGTGTGTGAGACTGTGTGTGTGACTAAGTGTGTGTGTGTGTGTGTGTGTGTGTGTGTGTGTGTGTGTGTGGCTGTTAAGTGTGTGTGTGTGTGAGAACTTTTATTTGTAAATTAACTGTATTTGCAGAGGAACCCTTGAGAGACGGGACCCCAGGGGTGACTGCAAAGGAATTCCTTGGTAGCACTGCGGAGAGGATACACTTTGGTAGGAAGGAGTCAGAGGCTCTCACCGATGGTTCCAGGTGCTCCAGGAGATCCTTTATCACCTAAAAATAGAACACAGGGTCAAATCCCTGGGTCCTTGCAGGTTCTGCCCTGATCCATGCAGGGTTCAAGGCATGCAGGCTTGGAAACATGGCCCCAGGGTACAGCAGGGATGTGCTGTGAATGGAGTTCCTGAGCCAAATCTTGCTGAAGCTACTGGCCACACACTCCCTCCCCTTGGCATCAAGCCATAGCCCTTCACTTGGCTTCCTTCATAAAAATCAGGCAAGAAGAATAATTTGAGTTCTCACCTTTTGGACCAGGGGAACCATTCGCCCCTTTGCCACCTGGGGGAGAACGGAAAGGGTTAGCAGAGCTGCAGTCGTCTCAGTGCTGTGGGCTCAGAGCCACATTTCTTTTAGGATAAACGTCTGAAGGCAGATCCTGTTCTCCTAACCAAAGGTTTGCCTTAGGAGCTCGCTGCATCCTCGCTAGGTCATGGCGTGCTCTGATCACTGCTGCATCCTCAACCCAGGGGCAGCCTCCAAGCCCATGCTGCTCCTTCTCCCTGCATAGGCAAAGGCCAGTGGTTCTGCCACTGCATTCATCTGCTAGACCTACCCTCAGTCCTGCCCTTGCCCACACCCTCCCTGTCCTGCCCCTCCTCTCTGCCCCGAACAGGAGACCCTCTGGAGCAGGGTTCCGTGAGACACAGGGCATGGCTTCAGAAGAAGGGCTGGGATTTAGCCACCTTGTACATTCAAAGGAGCAAATATTCCTTGGAGAACACATAGTCATGCAGCACACAGTCAACCTGTGGAACTCCTTGCCAAAGGAGGTTGTGAAGACCAGATTTTTAACAGGTCCAAAAACAAAATGGATACATTCATGGAGGATAGGTTCATCAATGGCTATTAGCCAGGATGGGGAGGTGTCCCTAGTCTCTGTTTGCCAGAAGCAGGGAATGGGTGATGGGGTGGATCACTTGGTGGTTCCCTGTTCTGTTCACTCCCTCTGGGACACCTGGCCTTGGTCCTGGCAGAAGACAGGCCACTGGGCTGCGGTACCTTGGTCTGACCCTCTGTGGCCGTTCTTATGTTCTTTTCAAACCACTTGTGTCTTTTCTAACCGAGGCTGTTACCTCAACCACCCACCAAGAGCAGGTTTCCCACTGGTTACTTACCGTTTGGCCCCAGTGGTCCTGCCTTCCCTGGGATTCCCTGCGCCCCCTTTTCACCTACACGGTGCAGAAAGAGATGAAGTACATTGCATGACACATGTTGACAGGTCCCATTTGGGACTTTGCTCTTTGCCCTCTGCCATATGGCCAGGGGGTGCAGGGACTCTTCCTGGGAGAGTTAATGCCCTAGTTAAGCCAAGTGAACTCTTCCCAGATGCCATGGTGATGGGCTCCTTAACAAAATGAACAGAGTCGCTGGGTTTTATGTCAAAATGTCTGAAAAACTGCCTTGGCATCAAACGTTTGATTTCGCAGCAACGTTCCCAGGCAGCGGGAAGCTTGCATAGTCCTAGAGGCTGAATTTCAAAGTAACTCACACCCAGCATGCTGGGTTTCTCAAAGGCAAACCCACCTACCAGCCACTTAGTTCGCTACTGTAGTGTCGCCGGGTAGGCCAGAGGGGTGCGTCTGCCTCTGGGTCAGTGGGCGGCCACTCCGCCCCTCTGCGGTAGTGATAGCGCTCCAAGACTTAGCAGCCAGCAGCTCCAATCGTTGTTGCCTAGATCGTTTTGGGGGACATCAACTAAGATTCATACCTAGCGTGTTCTCACCAGCCTGTGGGACCTGAACGACTAACAGCCCATTTCTCCATACGTGGACCCAAGGTGCCCTCCCAACCGGCACAAGAGTGAGCGAGGGCGTTACCCTGTAACAGGCTATTTAGGGCAGTTATTCCTGTGCTGGGGCATCTCCAAGGCCTGGACATTCGTTATTGTTTTGGTGGCCTCCGTGTCCAGGTCCACGCTACCTCCAGGATGTCGGCTCAGGATCCCAAGGGCCCCATGACGTGGGGTATTACTCCAGGAGAACTGGGGCTGAGCTCATCTTTACAGAGATGCTTTGCATGCTGGCTTGGGGATGGTGTTGGAAATGGTGGCTGACCCCATTATCAGGCTCATAAATCCCATCTCCAGTGTGGCGGTGAGGGGGCTGCTCCCAGGCCACGTGTGGACGTGCACCTCTGGGCGTGGCCTGAGGTCGGGAGCTGAATAACGTGGAGTCCAATAACGTGGAGTCCTGCTTTGTCCGTCAACTAGGGCTCAGCTCTGCTGGAGGCTTCGTGCGGAACGACAATCGCTCTGTTGCCCAGAGAGCCTCACGAGTCACATGGGGCAGCGCGGGGAGGCGATGAGAGGCCTGTAATGCTAGACCCACGATCCCTTGTGCGTTTCTCAGCCTCGCCCACAGCACTAGCGAAGAGACTCACTCCTCCTCGACTACTGCACCCAGGAGACTCAGCCAGCAGGACTGTTCAGAGCGGATGGGCAAATCCAGAATGCTTCCCCCGGGACAGGAAAGGCTTCTCCACCTATGGAAATCACCTATAGCAAGCGCATTGGGAGGCAGCTCCAGAGGCCCTGCCAGAGCAGGGGCTGACAGGCGTCTGTGCGGGTGTTCAATGTCGTCACTCTTCAGCGTGGAGGAGGCCCCAACGACGCTGGACATGATCACCTGTTTACTGGGCACAGATATTTGTCATTCACCCTGGGCAGAGCCACAGCCATCTCTGGAGCATTTAGACTAGTGCCTCTGTTGTGCTAATTACCAATTAGCTGCTACTAACTCTAGGGGGAACAGGACCAGTCCTCTGTGTCTGGCTCCTGCCTTTGGAACCCGGTTCTCCCAACGGGCTGTTACATCAGGAAGCTGATGCGGTTCAGATGGTGCTTCTGGGCTTTTCCTGCCAGGTTACTGACTGTAGTTTGTTCATGGTTACCCCAGGTTTAGAAAGTGGAGACATGGGGGAATCTTTACTGTGTCGAACCGTTTTCTACAGAGCTTGGCTGCTGTTGTTATAAACATCGTAGTGCGGCTCCTCTTTGCAACAAGCCAGTGTCCAAAATAGAGCTGAGTCTACACAGCACCCTTAGCTCGAAATAAGCTACGCAATTTGCAATACGGAATCTATTTAATAACGGGCTGCTTTAGTAGACGCGGAATAGCTATTTCGGGATACCCCCGGTATCCCAAAATAGCGCCGCAGTGTAGACATGCCCTTAGCGTTGCTGAATGCTGACCAAGAGAAGTCATGACACATACTAGGTCCCTTAGTGACCCGAACGTCTAAATCACAAAGCTGACATGAACAATCCGATTCCAGCCTTCTCCACTGGTTCACGTCAACAGGACATTAAAATGAAGAAAAGAACAGGGGAATGGGCCCCACTTCTGTCACCACCGCTCAGACAGATCCTCATTCAGCACTTCAGACGTACCTCTCATTCCTGCAGCTCCGGGGTCTCCTTTGGGCCCTGCGGCTCCAGCCAGGCCCGGGCAGCCTTGGAGAACGGCGAGTCTATCGGAGCCACTGAGACCCACGATCCTCACCTCTGGGGTAGCAAACAAATCAGTGACTGACTCTTACAGGAGTCTCAGGAGCGGGAACATCTTCAAAGCATGGGGGGGGGGGGGGGGGGGCGCGACTGGG